AGATTTATAAAACAAAATCAAGTAGCTATAGCAAGATTTGAATTATCGCAATCTGGACAAGCTATTTGTATGGAACCATTTAAACGTTTTCCTCAACTTGGTCGATTTACATTACGTAATGAAGGTCGAACTATTGCCATTGGAAAAGTCCTGGAAATCATCGAGTAAAAACTTTTTTTTTTGTCTTTGCTGTTAGTTCACATTTATTCTCCAAAAAAGATAATAAAAACCTAAAATTTCAATCAACTTGAGAATAAAATATTATATTTGTTCATTAATATTTCATTTCAAATTTGTTTATTACTCTGAAGTTAAGCATTTAATTCAAAGTAATAAAAAGTTTTCATTTCGATTAAAATCTTCAATAATCTAATAGAAATTCTGCGCTTAGTCAATCAAGTAAAAGAGGGTGGGGTGTGGGTGTGGGTGTGGGGTGCGGGTGTTGGTGGGTGTGGTGGGTGTGGGTGTGGGTGTGGGGTGTGGGTGTGGGCGTGTGGGTGTAATTAGAAACACTCTAACACCCATGCACCCACACACCCACACCCACACCCACACCCACACCCACACCCTCAAATTTTGATTACAATCAGTATTGATTTTTTATTCATTCGTAAATCAAATCGAATTTCTTTAATTTAGGAATCAAGAATTAAAAAAAGCTTGAGTTTTGAAGAATGAATAGCGAAAGTTTGAAAGTATTATAGTTGATTTAAAATCAATTTCATACAAAATAGATTTTAAAAGAAACTTCGTAACCCATCATAATACATGATAATCCTTTATCAGCTTTCATTATAACGATTGTTTCATCGTTCAATAATGATTTTGATGATTATAATTCACTTGGATTAATATTTATATTTGTTTTGTTTTTATTCATTTTTAATGATTGATAAGGTGCTCTTTCTATATTTTGGAAATATATTGATCTAAAGACTTTGTTGTTGTTCTTCTAGTTATTAATGTTGAAGGTCATCATTTCAATATTAAGTTTGAATTCCGTACTGCCTTGGTTTTTCATTTTAATACAGAATTTCAGATATTTTAATACATAGATTTCTTGTTATGAGATAATTCACAAGACGACA